GGTGGTCGTGTAACCTGTAAACCACGCCAAGGCCTTTGTGGGAGAATGCCCCACCGATTGTGGGAGCTCTGTCGGGGCTCAGGAGGAGTCCTGGAGGCAAGGAACTGAGTGCTAACTCCCTGACTCCTTCTATAAACCGGGCTACAACCCCTATCTGTACATCTTTCTATGGTTTGACTGAGTGTATTGTGTGACTCCTGTATCTGATCTTGGTTTGACGTTCAGGACATAAGTCAGACTGAAATAAAGGAATGAGTGTGCAATGTTCAACTTCAGACTTTGTTTGGTTGCCTGAAAGCAGATTGTGGACAAAAGGGATGGCATCTGGGGGAAGGTTGGGAGGAAGGCCGTATTGCGTGCAGTCTGATTGGGTCGTTAAGGCTGGGGGGTCCCCATAAGTTTAGAGAAGCTCAGCGCTTTGTTTAATTTTGATTTGCATGGAGCCTCAGGCCGCTCTAAAAGTTTAGGTAGCCTGAAGCTCTGGAGGTTGGGATGTCCCCATAAGTTTGGGGACACCCAGTGTTGTGAACTGCATGGAGAGTCAGGACGCTATACAAGTTGAGGTGACCTGACTACTCTGACTTGCGAGGGTTGATTTGGGGAGACCCAGTGTTGTGAACTGCATGGAGAGTCAGGACGCTATACAAGTTGAGGTGACCTGACTACTCTGACTTGCGAGGGTTGATTCTGCTTGACTTTCAGGGGCTCAGGGCGCTCTATAAGTTTAGGTACCCTGGGTGACCTTGGTTATTTGGGAGTTTTGTCAGTTTCTTTGGTTTTTAATGAGGAGGTTTGAACCGCTCTATAAGTTTAAGTGGTTCAACCCTTCTCTTGTTTTTTTTTAAGGGAATAATTCTGGCAGGGGACAGGTCGCTCTATAAGTTTAGGTAGCCTGGCCTACTGCCTCGCACAGACTGGGTCAGAGAGAAACGAACATGGCAAAGGATCAGACCGCTCTATAAGTTTAGGTAGTCTGACCCAATGCCTCGCATATGTTGAAACCCAATGGATATAACCTGGCTATATTGTATTATTATGCTATTACGAGCAGGCTAGTCACGCCGCTCTATAAGTTTAGGTGGCCTGACTATAGCTTATCACAACTGAAGAAAATATAACTTAGAGATATAATTGAACGTAAATCTGGGCGGACTGAGCAATGTTCTAAGTTGACCGGCTCAGCCCTATGTCCACTTTGAAGATTAAGTTCAAAGACATATATATAACTTGGCTATTTAAACAGTTCAGGGCGACAAGAGTGGTCTAGTCATACGCCAAAAGAAGAGAGAAGTAGTTGTGCCCTCTGTTTGTGAAAACCTCGCCAAGTCAGAACGCTCTATAAGTTTAGGTGTTCTGACTTTACGCCTGGCTAAGTTGGGCGCGCTCTGTAAGTTCAAGTGCCCTGACCTATGCCTTATGTAAGTTGGGTATAAAGGGGTAACTTACTGAGGAAGCATGAACTATTACTTGCTAAAAAAACTTGGGGTTGGTGAGAGTACTTACCTTTGTGGTTTGGCCTGCATGTGGCTGAGTGAGATTACTACTTGGTCTGGGTTTCAGGTTGACAGGTAGTTGTTTTAGAGGCTCGCCACGTGCTAGAGCGATACGAGTTAGGTCAATTCCTGCATTTTCTAAGTTGACTTTATTTTACTTAGGGCGATTCTTGCGCTTTCTGAGACTCGCTATTATACTTGGACTTGTAAAAATTTTGGTAAGCTACTTTCTCTACGGGAAGCGCTGCCAAAATTTTTACAGATTCAAGGAGTTAGACAAATTTTGACTTGTCAAAGTTCAGCTTGCCTTTTTTGTATATGTGACTTAGTAAAAATTTGAAAAGTCTCATTTTCTAAGGGGAGTGCTGCCCAATTTTTTGTTAATTCAGGGAGTTAGACAAAATTGGACTTTGAGAAGTCAAAGTTAGGCTTAAACTCTAAACTTAGTTTTGTATAAATTTTTGGAAAGCACTTTTCTAGGGGGAGTACTGGCGAAATTTCTGCACAACTACAGAGTTCGTCAGATTTTGTCTAAGTTGAACTCAAGGTTGGGGGTTGAGTTCAAATTTCACTTGGTATAAATCTGGGAAATCCCCAATTCCAAAGGGGATGATGCCCAAATTTCTGTTAATTCAGAGAGATAGACAAAATTTGATTTTCAAAGAGTTATAGATTACTCCTGCTTTGATATTTGGGGGTTGTATAAACTCTGAAAAGACACTTTTCCTACGGAAAGCGCTACCGAAATTTCCTTGAATTCGAGAAGTTAGATTATATTTTGACAGGTGGCGATTCTGGCAATCCACCTTAATAGAGGAGACTCTGCCATTAGTCTACCTTTGCTTTGGGCGCTGGCTTAGAAGCAGGCTTGGACTTAGTTGGCAGGAAGCCTTCCGTGAGAATGTGCGATGGAGGTTTATCCCCCATATGCTGATGTTTTAGCTTGGGCATTTGACTTATTTTGTGTTGCAGGTCCTTTGGGGTGTCTGATTCAGGATCAGAACTAGATTCAGCTTGATCCCTTGAGGATCACCTTCTGTTATCACTGATAGTAGGTCGGTTGCCGATTCGTCGGTCGTCGACTCAATTCCAACTCACTCTCCATACTCAACCTAAAAGGCTTTAGCCCTGGTGGTTTTACTGTTTGTTAAGGGTTTTCATCCGGACTTTTATTGAATGACCATTTAACAAAGGTACAAAGTGTTTAATTGAGGTCAGTTGGATCGGCGATTGGGGCTTGCATGGCTAAACGGAAGGGGTATAAGCCTAGAGAATGGTTGGGGTTGACTCCGTGTAGTGCGTGTTTTGTCGTTCGATTCTTGGTGTGATTGCAGGTATGTCCTGTGGCTCGAATTTTTGGATATGGATTGCCTGCAATCTCATATATATATATATATGGTTGTGAGGGGTCTCACTGTGCCTGTGAGAAGTGATCGTCGCAACTCTATCTCCCTTATGCGTGTATGCATTAGGTGTGCTTGTGGTGGATATTTAAGAGGCATAAAAGGTCCGTGTTAAAATCTCGTTCAAAGGTTGAGGTTGAGGGGCAGGGAAGACCCTCCCTTCTGCCTATTTGCGTCTTGAGGCGTTCTTAGTCGGACGTTGGTCCTGGGCCGGGATTCAAGGTCCTTGTCCAGGACATCCCAAGCCCTAAACTATGGAGGGGAGGAATCTACCCTTGCACAGAGCCTATTTACCTCGGCCGGCGAGACACCCCACCTTAAAGGCGGAAATGTCATGAGGGCCGAATGGCGTGTCCTTCAGCCGTTCAATATCATGAGGGGAGACCCCTTGCGATGTGTTCCTCCAACCATTCAATATCGCGAGGCCGGAGCCGCGATTACCACGAACGATTGGTATCGGTGGTTGATATAGAGTTGGCCTGCGGCCGCGTAGCTTTATGGTGGAGTCTTGCGCGCAACGTTTCGCCGCCCCAGCGTCTAAAAATTATGGGATCACCGGGCTCGCACGTAGGCGCAACGCTTGGGATTGTTGTAGGCCGCCGGCACCACTCGTAGAGGGGAAGGGTACCCCATGGTCATGAGTCCCTTTAAAGCAAAGGGGGCCCTTGCCCTGTTCCCCCTTCTTGTCTTCGTGCGTGTTCTGCTTGTTTTTTAAGGATTATTATGGTTGGACGTTATAGTCCGTGGCAGCCGTCAAAGTCAAACCACTTGACTTTCGCCTAGGCCCGGGGAGGACTTACCCCCAGGGCCGCGAGGGACGACTACCACAACAGGCGTGGACCTGTGTACCACCCGCTCTGCATAAGGTGCAGAAGAGGGTGTATGGTCTCCAACCGCGCATGGCGGTTGTCAAGCGTCGAGAGATTAACCCTCAAGGCGCGTGTCAGCCAACACTTGAGTGTCGAATGCAACCCTCGAGACTAATGAGCATCGCACCATTGTGGGAACTGCACAGTACGCCATCATTGCGACTGCTTCCGTATGCCTGCATTGCTAGTCGACATGAGTAGGCCCTGTGTCCGCGCGGTTTTATACTAAGTCTCGCGCGTGACGCCTTTCCGATTTCTGCATCGGAAAGTTATGGGACGGCTACTGAGGGGCTAGGAGCGTTGTCGCGTTGTTTATGCGGCGTTGTTTGTGTGGGTCGTTTCGNCATCGGAAAGTTATGGGACGGCTACTGAGGGGCTAGGAGCGTTGTCGCGTTGTTTATGCGGCGTTGTTTGTGTGGGTCGTTTCGGGCGTATGTGTGTGTGTGTGCGTTGCTGTTTTGTGATTGTTAGAGTGGTGTGCGCGTGGTGTGTGGGATGCGTCCTAGTCGCCCGACGTCGAGCCGCGCTTGGGACTTCAGCCCCCCAAGATGTTGGCTCGCGCGCGGGTCCGATAGGCGTATTACCGCGCGTACCCCCTATGCTACAGCGAACGAGAAACGCCCTCGGCTGGTCCACCTCTGCGATTGCAATTGATTAGCTTTCGTACTGTGGTTTGGTAGCTCAGCGGGGATACGCCCACCGAAGGGAGGTGACAGCTCTTGTAAGGTGGAGGTAAGTTGTGCCTCGCGTAGGCCCTTTCCTGTCGTAGGGGCTCGCGAGAGGTATGGCTGGCGCACTCAGCCGGAGCGGCCTAAGGAAGCTCCACTTGCGTGCTCGTGAAGAGGTTGGTCCATCTCCTGCGTGACACGGCCGAGAGGGTCCCGCGCTGTGGCGTGCGGTGCCGGACCAATGCGCTCGACAGGTGGCGCCGTTGCCGGGGATAACGGGAGCCTACCGTTGTCCCTGGTGGAACGACATTCAGGTATGAAAATGAGGGAGAGCTAGGCATATGAGTGGATAAGGGGAGGTTATGAGAGGAAGTGTATGGTGGCCTATATGACTATGGGTGTGAATGATTGACTGATTGGCGGCTTGGCTGATGGCGTGGGTGAGGTGAATGTGTGAGGAGACCTTATGGTAAGGGTAGGCCTTATCTAGGTAGGCCTAAGGGAAACGAGAAGAGAAATGTCTGCCAGGTCTAGAGGGTCAAATGTTTGAGGGGTCAACCTGATAGGGTCGTGAGGGAATGAACTTCTGAGTGGGGCCTTTCATTCTATCGTTTCTTATAACAGGAAGTTTGAAGCCGGAGGCGGTTGATCAAAATGCCTGAAGCGATGGCAGACGGTGGGAGGAGGCTCGTGACACTCGACGACCTCATCGATGCCTTGGACAAGCGCGAGAGGGCGCCAAGCAATGTCCCAAAGATTGAGACATTCCACTTCAAGGGGGATTGGGTATCTGACTGGTTGGATGTGACAGAGCAGGCGCTGGTAGGACTGTCATATGAGGTCAAGCTCCAGCGGGTCCTGAGGTACATCCTGCATAGTCACTATCGGGGAGTAATGGACGCCGCCAGCGGCAGTTGGGCAAAGTTTGGGGACCTGATGCGGAGGAAGTACACGCTGGGGGATGGCCTGTTGACCATGGCCGACTTGGAGGCCATGAATAAGGAAGACTTCTCTACCATTGGGGCGTTCGTGCACGAATTTAAGAAAAAGGCGAGGAAATTGCACGGGATTTCTGAGGAGGCGCAGTGCGCCACATTTTTGGGGTTGCTTACGGGTTTGGAGGCCACTGAGTTGACAAAGTATGGGGAAGGGAGTGAGAGGCTCACCTGGGCAACTATTGACAAGGGAGTGGAAGAAGGGAGCCTGGACCAGGTGGAGCAACACCAAATGAGGTTGCAAAGGCGTAAGAGGAAGGAGAGGGATGCTACTGCATCTGGGACCCCAGGAGTGAAGAGAATCGTCACGGACGTGTTGGCGGCGCCCGGGTATGACAATGGAGTGGAAATATAGAAAAGAGGGGTGATAGTGGCCCAAGGCCGGGCGTCAGGGGTAGTGGATGAGGAGGCTGGGCGCGAAGATTACGGCAGGGAGGAGACGGGTTCCCAGGCCCTGACTAAGGCCCAGAGGAAGCAGCGCAACCTGCTGGTGGGAGGGCAGGGGTCAGGGAAGGGGCAGGTTCCCCAAGCCATTGCCGCACCGCTGTCTGTCGCCGCGGCCACGCCAGCGCCAACAGGATCATCGCACATGGGGCCGCCACCAGCTTGCGGATATTGGGTACCGCATTGTCAGTCCGCACCCTGGCCCAGTTGCAACCACTGTGTCTCATGTGGAGGGAGTCAAGGCCACACGGGGCACATGGTCCCCTATTCGGGCCCATCGGCAAGTATGGGGCCCCCGAGCTACCCAGCAGCTCAAGGCCAGCCTGTGGCCCAACCGCCGCCCTCCCAAAAGGCCTCGCAGGCTAGTGTGGCCGGGGGAGGGAATCCAGGGCAAGGTGGGCAAGGCAATGGGGGTCGAGGCCAATGGGGTCGAGGAGGGGGTGGCCGGGGGCGAGGAGGAAATGGTGGGGGCCGTGGGGGTGGTTGGAATAATCAGGGAGGCCAGAGCCAAGGTGGCCAGGGCAGCCAGGAGGGGGGCCAAGGGTATGGGAGGCCCCACTTCGATTGGCGGAATGCAACTTGTTGGCATTGCGGCGAGGTAGGCCACACCCTACGGTTCTGCCAACAGCGGCGGGACGACGAGTTGGCGGGACTGATCTCCTCCTGTATGGATGGGGACATATACGATAGGTGGGGAAAGCATATCGATCCCAGGACCCGGGAGGAATCAGACAGGAAGCCCTCAGGCGAGCGGCGACAGGGCCACCAGCAGCCCCAGCGATGTTTAGGATATAGCAAGGAAGGGAGGATCTGGGTGTGAGGGTCGAAGACATTGTGGATCAGAGTGAGGAAGTGACTCAGCAACTAAAGGCAGGGACTATAAAGGAGGAACCTATAGTCATTGAGTCAGAGGATGAGGTGCAGGAGGTGGCAAGAGGGCCAGCCTCGACCATCCTGGGAAGGATGGAGGACCTGCTTGCGAAGGTGGGCAGGTACCAAGAACGGTTGAGGGTGATGTGTGAGGGGGCTCGAGAGTGGGAAGCCGCAATGGTGGACATGGGCGCTTAGATGAATATCATCCGGGAGCGGGACGCGACCATGCTAGGGCTGGAGGTTGACCATTCGGACCATGGTGTGCTGCACGGTGCCAACTGTAAGGCAATTTTCTGCGGCACCGCGTCTAACGTGATGGTGGAAATTGGGAGGGTAAGGGCGCGAATGTGATACTTCGTCATGCCCGATGTCGACCACCCTATCCTTCTCGGGAGGTCGTTCCTCTGTCAAACGGAGACCTTGGTCTTCAATAGGCATGAGGGGACGATGATCCTGGCCCTATCCGATCCGACATGCGAAAACTACGAAATCATCAAGTGTCGGAACACAGGGCCCAGAAGTGGGAGGAATAGGCTCAACCTCGGCTCCTTTACCTTCGGGGAGTCGGAGTACGCGCGAGGAAGACTCCGGGAGCAACAAGAGGAGGAAGAAGCAGGCGAGGTATTGTCCCTGAGCCTCAACGATGAAATGGAGGTGGTGGCGGCGCATGATATGGCGGACCCTGAAGCTATAAAGGCATTGAGGGAGCACGTCCTGGAGAACCCTCAGGTGGGAGAAGTGGAACTGATCTATCGGCTTCCAGGAAGGAAAGGGGACCCTGCGATGGCCCAGACCCGGACGACAAGTCAACCTTTTTTAGGGGAGGGCTTAAGCAGGGCTCCCAAAGGCGGTACAAGACCATAGACAAGAAGTGTCGCCCAGTCCCCATGCTTGTTACGGAGGATGAAGAGGCCTATTATAAGCGGGAGCGGGGACTGATCAGACGAATGCGGGAGCGTGCGCAGGCAGGGTCGTGTCGAATAAATGATGGGAATGAAGAGGAGTTGATAATTGGCGAGCCTGGCTTCCTTTCGCCCCAGGAGAGGACCTTGATGGTGGAGACCATGAAGAGGAGGCATTGCGCATATGCGTTTAACGATGACGAGCGTGGGAGGTTGGACGTGGATAAGATCCCAATGATACGAATCCATACCGTCCCACACGAGCCATGGAATCTGAGGGGCGCGCGATACCCGAATCAAGATGAAGAGAAGAAGGTGGTGGACTACCTGGACGGGAAGATGCGGACATACGTGGCAGACTATTCCAGTGGACCGTATGCCTCCCCTTGGTTTTGTTTTATTAAGCCGAACGGGACGCTACGGTGGGTGCAGGATTTGCAACGATTGAATGCAGTGACGGTGCGGGACGCGAGAGGATTGCCGAACGCGGACGCCCTGTCAGAGTCATGCGCAGGAAGGCCTATAATCTCACTTATAGACCTTTATTCTGGGTATGACCAGTTTTTTGTATACCCGCCGGATAGGCCGGTGACGGCAATGCATACACCAAGGGGGCTGATCCACATGAACGTGGCCCCTCAGGGGTGGACTAATGCGGTGGCGATGGTGCAAAGGCACATGATTAGGGTCATGCAGACGGTTAGTCCACATATTACCCAGCCCTACATTGACGATCTGGCGGTCAAGGGTCCAAAAGAGAAGGAGGAAAACGAAGTGATGCCCGGAGTGAGGCGGTTCGTCTGGAAACACATCCAGGATATCGATCAGGTTCTGGGTCTGCTGGAGGAGCACAACTTGACGGCGAGCGGCCCCAAGTCGAAGCACTGTATGAGGGAGGCCACGATCCTGGGCTTTGTCTGTAATGAGAAGGGGTGGAGGTCAGATGTGAAGAAAACGGACAAGATCCTAGAGTGGTCAGTCCCCTTTCAGTCGATAACGGATATGAGGAGCTTCCTTGGGACCTGTGGGTTTTGGAGAAGTTTTGTGAAGGACTTCGCCACCAAGACAGAGCATTTGAGGAAGCTGGTGCGTCAGGATTAGGAGTGAGTCTGGGGCGAAGACCGGGAGAAGGCTGTGGAAAGGATGAAGGGAGAGTTCAAGGAAGGAGGCTTGGTGCTGGGAGCGTCGAATTACGAGGCCACAGAGGAAAAACCATTCGTTGTCGAGACGGACGCTGGGCCAACTGCCTTAGGAGGGGTCCTGATTCAGGCAGATGCATATGGAAAGGAGAGGCCGCTAAGGTTTGAAAGTCGTACTCTCAATACGACCGAGAGAAACTACTCGCAGTTTAAGAAGGAGACGTTGGCGGTACTCCATTGCCTGAGGACCTTCCGGAACTATATCTTTGGCATGAGGCTCATCTTGAGGGTGGACCCTACTGCGCTTGCGTGTTCCCTGAAAAGTTATACTCCATCTGACCCAACCATCGCGAGGTGGTTAATTTTCATTTGGGTGTTTAACTTTGAGTTGGAGAGGATTCCAGGGAACAAGAATAGGGCAGATGGGCTGAGCTGTATCAACTGGGACAGGGCGAATCTGGAGTCAATTGAGGATACCCCACCAGTCGACGGGTTCTTGGATCAGGAGGAGGATGTCCGCCTCCACATAAATGAATGGTCGTTGAGGGTGCCTAGTTGCGTCACGCATCCCATATGGCTAGCGCCAAGGGGGTACGAGCGAAAGGAGGAGTTGGTCCTCAAGCCCTTCCAGGAAGAAGATCCGTGGGGGAGTAGGGATGTTGGTTGGATGATGAAGTTGGCATTGGCGGGTATACATAGTCCGGCAGAGGAAGTGAGGACGATAGAGGAACGCCCAACCCAGGTAGAGGAGCATGAGCAATTAATGGGAGGGATGTATTTGCTCACTAATACGCTTCTGCAGGGAAACTTTAACCAGAGGGGCTCATTTGGTCATGAGGACAGTGAACTTCTTGTTCCTGAAAGTCAGGACAATGAGTTACAAGAGGGAGAGATCAAGGAGGCGTTTCGCGCAGAAGAGTATGACGGGATCTATCGGGAATTGGGGTTACTCCTGTCATGCGAGATAAGGGAAAGGGATGCAAGTGCCAAAGCCCAAAAGATGAGGCATCTCTACGTAGTAAGAGATGGTCACCTGCTTATAAAGCGGTAGGTTGGAAACCCCAAGAGGATCGTATGCGGGAGTAATCGGCAGATCGATGTCATAGCAGCCTTACACGATGGTATAGCAGGGGGGCACAGAGGGGTTAGTGCCACGTGCGCAAAGATAAGCGAGTTATACCATTGGGATGGAATGCTGACTATGGTCATCAAGTACTGTCAGTCCTGTGTACCTTGCCAGCAGAGGTCAGCGCAAAGGTCTGGGGAGCCTTTGCACCCCAGGTTGGAAAGGGAAGTGGGTGCAGTCGTGCACCTGGACCTGTTGTTTATGCCACTCGGGAAGGATGGAAGTAACTATATCTTCGACGCACGGGATAACCTTACCGGGTCCGTGGACGGTCGGGCTATTCGTACAAAAACTGGCCCAGTTTTAGCAAGGTGCATCGAAGAGTACTACCTGCGCTATCCGTTTGTCAGAGAGTTTGTGATGGACCGGGGGTCGGAGTTCACCTGTAACGAGGTGCGGACCTTACTTGCGGGGTATGGCGTGGTAGCGAATTATACTACTGCCGCGCACCCCCAGGCGAACGCACCTGTGGAAAGAGGGCATAGTACCATCACAAACCTCCTGGCCAAGTGGACTGAGGGGAGGCCTAACCAGTGGTCGAAGTTCCTGAGAGCAACTTTCTTCGTGGAAAATGTTACTGTGAAAAGGACGACTAAGTATGTGCCAGCCACACTATGGTAGGGAAGGCATGCCACCTTTCCCATAGAAAGTTTCATGAAGACGTGGAGGCGCCAGGACCTGGAAGTGAACCTGCCTTTTAAAGAACTGCTCGATATTCGGGCGCGGCAGGTGGGAGCTGCTGAGGAAAGGTTGCGAGAGGCTACTGGTCAGGTAGAGAGAAACCGCATGGAAGACAAGATGAGATGGGACCAGATGGCCCGGGTAAGAAAGGATCCGTTGAAAGTTGGGGATGCGGTGCTACTGTATGACTCCTCGTTGGAGAAACAATGGTCTAGGAAACCCAACAAGCGGTGGCTGGGACCCTATAGGATCGTGCGGTGTGGCGAGTTTGGGGCCTACCAAATTGAAGAGCTGGATGGGGCGGGGTGGCAGGACTGGGTATCAAGGGCAAGGCTGAAGAAGTTCGTGGCCAGGGAATAGGTAAGGGATCGTAAGGCCCCATTAGGAATAGAGTCTTGCCCAAGGTATTACCCATGTAAGGTGATTGGATAGACGGGTGATTGGGGTGAATGGGTGTGGAGAGTATGTGGGATTTTCCTAAGCCAATGGGCTCAGTTGCTGACCCTGCTGTGTGCCTGTCTGTTGTCTCTCGCCTGTTGTGCAGATCTGACTTTTCGAAGGCAGTCATGCAGAGGGGCGGGAGGGACACACGGCCACGGCAGGGGCCCCAGAGGGCAGCAGGAAGAGGCGAGCAGCATGAGCCGCCTAGGAGGGACCCTACGCCTAAGTTCGGCGACGATAATATAGAGCTCTTCCTGGACGTGTATCGGGATCATGCGGCACAGAGAGGGTGGTCAGTGGCGAAGAGGATCCACCACTTGAGGGGTATAGGGCGGTTTGAGGAGCCTATCGCTCAGATATGTGAGGGGGCCCTGACTTGGCCAGATGTGGAGGCCGGGATGCAGAGGTTGAGAGCTTCCCCTAGAGAGCGCGATGGCATGCCCATTCGATTGGAGGAGGGGAACGCGGAGGAGTTTATTCTCGCGTATGAGCATTATATGCCGAGTCAAGGGATCGTGCAGGAGGAGTGGGTGTAGACCCTACTTATTTGGACAAGGGGGGCAGAGAGGCCGGTGGCCAAACAGATTCGGGAGAGGGCTCGAGACTGGGAGGATTGTCAGGCCCAGCTCAGGAGGGCGTTCGGACGACCAGAGCGCGAGAGGCACGAGCCCAGGGTCGAGAGGCGGAGGCGAAGCAAGAGGCCAAGGGAACCAGCGCCGAGAGAGGCGGGGCTGACTAGAAAGGGGAAGAGGGCCCCAGTACAGTGAGAGGATGAGCCCGCAGGGCCCGCACCGGAAGAGGAGTCGTTCCCTGCTTGTGGACTCCGGGCAGTTGAGTTTCGGCGGATTACGAGCGAGGAGTTGCGGTCGCCTTCGCCATCGCCTCCAAGGCGGGAGATAGACATACCAGGAGAGACACCATTCTGGAGCTTAGCGACTCACCTTGATGTATCTCGATGGGAGGCCTCACGATTGGGGGAGGGCTCAGTTGAGCCGACATGCTATATGCCGTTGGAGGAGCCTTTGGACCCGAGACGGAGACAGACATGCGAGACCGAGAGGAGCCGCGGGATCCTGAGATGGCAGCTGAGCAGCCGGATCCGGTACGGCCTCAGGATGAGGAGGTGATCATGGTCGGAGACGATACCCCTCCATGCTCCCCAGGTCCAGAGCCAGCACAACATTCATGGCCAGAGGGGATTCCTGAGCCAGGCAGCGAGGAGATTCTGGAGTTTCCCCCAGAAACCACTGTGGTGCCTGAGCAGGAGGCAGAGATGGAGAAGCAGGGGGCGGGTGGGGGAGCGGAGATGGAGGCGATTCACGATCCACCTTTAGTCATGCCCGCGACCGAGCGCCCAGCTATCAGGGAGCCTGTACTGGACGGGCTGATGCCGGCATTGCCGAGTACGAGCGAGAGGATGGGTGCCGAGGCGTCGACTCCGGAAGGCCAGGGGCCGCAAGTGAAGGGAGCCTCAAGAGAAACCCGCGAGGAGAAGTCCGCCAGAGTGCGAGTCCGTTTGGACGAGATACCCGCAAGGCAGGCTGAGATGGAGGCGGTAGGGATAGAGCCGACACCGCCGGTCGATCCCAAAACGAGTGAGCAGCGGATCGACGAGTTGTGGGCGAGGTACGAGGGCCAGAGGGACGCAGCCCGCCAGAGGTCACGAGAGGCGGGGCAGGCGGACGTGGATGCGGGTGAGCTGCGGGAGATGGGGGACTTGGGGTTCGCTGCGACTAGGATGGCGATTGAGCGTGTGGACAGAAAGATATGTGAGACGGCAGTTACATCCTTCCAGTGGTATAGTTTACTCAGCGGTGAGCTCAGGGTCAGAGAGTTGGAGGTGGAGCACCTGACTACTCAGCTTGCCGAGGAGAGGGCGAGGAGCTAGGCCAGAGAAGTTGAATGGGAAAGGAGATTTGGAGAGATGGCAGCCACCGTGGACAGGCTTTCGGCAGCCTGGGAGGCTAGCCATACGGGACGAGCCGGTGCCGATGGTCACGAACGAGGGGTGCAGGCTTCGCCGAGTCGGGGAACAGCGGTGGACGCCCCTCGACAGGTCGGGCCAATGGGGGAGGTGCCTCTGGATACGGCCAAGGAGGAGGGTGGCGCTCAGGAGCCACTTATGGTGATGTCCACGGAGAGGAGAGGCTCACGCTTGCATGAGCTGGCGGCAGCCATGGGGATAGGTACTACACAGGAGAGACCTCAGAGGCCTGACGCCCCGGACTACGCCCCAGGGCTGGGAGAGTTGAGGGCAGAAATTGGGCTCCTGGGCCACAGGGACAGACTCAGGAGGACTTGACTCAGGGCGGCAGCAGCAGCAGGAGGTCATGAGTGAGCCCACCGCCATGGTGGGCCCTCAGCCGTCAGGATCATGTGGGGATGAGGTGGTGGTTGTGACAGAGAGGCCTCATGAGGAGAGACCCCGAGAGCTGGACACGCCAGACTGCAGGCCAGTGAGCACAGTCGTACGAGAGGGTGAGGGTGCTAAGGCTATGGAGCCTGGACCTTAGGGCCATATGGGATTGCCCTCGTGTCATGAGGTGACCACCGAGACCATGGGGACACCTTTAGCATCGAGTTCCCGAGGGAAAAAGAAGAAGACTGCCAGGTGGCATGACACATCTTGCTTTTGGTGCAAGAAGGAAGGGCATAGAGTCGTGGACTGCCCAGAGCTCCTCGAGGATAAGGCCGAGGGGCGGGTTGCAGAGGTCGAGGACAAGTTCTATGACAGGCAGGGCAGGATCGTGGAGCGAGCTCCAGATGGGGGCAGGACTAAGTTATATAGACAGAACCAGGAGGAATTGTGGGAGTAGGGGCTGGTCTGTCTATGTGTCAGTTGGACTAGGGTATTTGGCACACAAGAGGGCGGGATGGAGGTGTACATTATGCTCAGTTGACTGAGGGGCCCCTAGGTGTGTGCATACTTTAGGGGTGGCAGGATGAGTCCCTGCCGGATTGTACATACTTAGTTGACTGTGTTTTTCTTGGGTTGTTTTATAAGCCACAGCCTAGGAAATGGGGTATGGTCATGGGACACTTCAGGCTAGTTAGCTACATTTGGGTTGTGATGCAGAGACTATTTGGGTTTGAGAGAGACGCAGGTGTGAGTTCCCCAATAGAGTGAGACAGGGGTTAGACAACTGTTAGATTTTTGGTAGATGTTGTGTCCCGAGCGTGTTCCACGAGTGTACAGTGAGGTCGGGAGCCATGCTTAGATGGACAGAGTTTGAGTTGAGTGTTTGTGTTTGAGTCTTGAGGGAGGCATTCTACTCCCTGAGTGTATCATGAGTTGAGATTCTATGGGACTTGTTTTGTGACGACCACTATCACTCTCACATGTGTGGCTCTATCCTGATGTATGATCGGCTTTGTGTGGGAGGTGTACAGGATACATCTCATGGGCATGATTGTGTAAACTGTAAAGTTGTCTACCCTCCGGTATACTCGTGCGGTCTGCCTGCAAGCGGACGAGGGGGCAGAGTATAAGGAGGGGGAGTGCAGCCTGTTTGTGAAAAATTGTGAGAATCCTATGGGATTGATGAATTCAGAGGCCTGATTGTCTAGCTATGTCAGGCATTGTTTGCTCAAGATTGTACA